CTCTTTCTCTCCAACGTTTTTGCACTTATTTGCATATAAGACAATAGAAAACAAGAGTGCATGTGGTTTGAAAGAGGATTGGTTAAGGTGGGGAACTAGCTAAAGATGAACTAGCCATTCAGGATCAACAGAGAGTGGTAAAAGGATAAAGGAGTCCTGAATGTATGATTCGTTTCCCTGGTCTAATGTTTCAATGAGAAAATTAAGTCCAAATTAAGTCCAAATAAAACAGAGCTAGTATATCCCTTCATCTAAATCGAAATCATTCAAATTCCTCTGGGGTACTTCGTTTCAAATGTGCTTAGCTACCGCCTAGTCTAGTCCTAAATCATGAATGAGCAAGTCACTAGGAACAGTCTAAAGCACACAGTCAACTATCATTGATTATTGTTCACCATTCCCTTTTAAAACGTATTTTGTTTTGAAAACCGATTTTGAAAAACTTTAAGGAAAATGCAAAAAGTGTAGATAATACAAGACTCATGAAAGAAAAGTGGTTAGAAAGGGATGAAATCCTCCCCCAGACTTAAATCACACTGTCCTCAGTGTGAAACAAGTCGAGATTGGATGAGAAAAATGCATAGATAATCGAATTGGTAAGGCCAAAGAGAACTTACCTGGATCCGGGATGCTGGTGGAGATGAACCGGATTCATTCGAAGAGGTTTGGGAAGGTGATTGGTGGTGATGAAGGTGGTGGAGGGTGATGAATGAGGTGGAGTGGGGATAGGTGAGGTGGAATGAGGTGAAGTGGGTGGTTTGGGGTTGGTTTGATCTCAACGACCAATTGCCGCGGTCAGGAGTCACGCGACCGCGGTAAACAGGTGCTTGGCCGCGGTCAGAATCACGCGACCGCGGTCGAAGAGGCGTTTCCCGCGGTCAGAACGTCTGCGACCGCGGGGGCTTATTTCGCGGCCTCTTCCTGCTTCTTCTTGGTTCCTGCTGGGCCGAGCAGTCAGGGACCATCCTTCTTTTTGGTTTTTTCGGGTTTTTTGATTTTTTTGGCTTTTTTTTTTATAAGAAACGCCTGAAACTAAGAAAAAGAAAAAGATCAATAGAAAAAGAAAGAAAAATCCTAGAGAAAACAATACCTAAATGGGTTGCCTCCCATTAAGCGCTTTTGTTTTAAGTCGTTTAGCTCGACTTTTGGTGTTGGACGTTGCTTAGTCCAATGAAGAAGACCTTGTCCTGAGACAAGTCTTTTTCGACATCTCCTTGCTTTCCTTTGTATATCCCTTATAACGCCATTCCCAATTGGAAAATTTGTCCTTAGGTTTGAGATGGTAGCCTCCTCCAGGATCAAAAATCAGTCTTGGAGCTCTTTTGAGGCATGAGTCTTCAACACCACTTGTGATAGGAGAACGTCTCAGATGCTTGTATGATGAGGTGAATAAGGTCTCTCTCACTTCATGACATTGAACCATGTTGCAAGATACAAGGACAGATGATTCTTTATGATCTGAAGTGGTGGAGATGGTTAAGCATCCAAGGTGAGGACAATTTGGTTGGAGAGGTGTCGCCATGGCTTGAACTGTCCAAAGGTCGATATAAAGAGCATTCTCCGTGGGTGGAAGTGTCGCGACCGCGGGGAAAGGTGGTTTGGCCGCGGGTAGCGCACACGCGACCGCGGTGCCGAATGTCCTAGGAAAGATGTTCAGATCCTCTTGCTTCTTGTCTCCAATTCTTTTTCCTTGTGGAGGGTCTTCGGAAAAGAGTCTTGAGAGCCATTTAAACTCCACTCTTGCTTCAATTAAGTCTGCATCACCTCTCATAAGAGCATTGGTTAAAGGTGTACATAAGGAAGTACCTTTGTTCGTCAAGCTTGTAAATCCAGCGTTTTCTTTGGGTGCTCTTCTTTGTAGAACGTATCCAACATCCTTTGTAGCTCCTCCAGGGTCAAATATTAGATCTTCTATGCTGCCTATGATCAAACAATGAGAGTTCCTTGTAGTAATCACTGCGTATGGGGTTTTCTTGTTGATCTTCAGGAAACTCATATGTTGATGCAGGTAGTTGATGAGTGTTCCAACAGATGCTAGGAACAAAGTACCGAGTATCAAGGGTTTTGTTGCATTGTTTCTCATCTCCATAGCATGGGAACCAGTAGAAACAAGACAACCTTTCCTTTGAAAAGGCAATTCTGGTTTGGAACCAAGTAGAGCTGCACCAGAAAGATCTCCATAGTGAATATAAATCTTAGAAGGATGAAAAATCGAAATACCTGCATTCTCTGCAATGGTCTTTGGTATGAGATTCACATCAGGTCCAGATTCACAAAGAGAATCACGAAATTTCACTTCCTTGATTGAGAATGGGGCATCAAACTTCTCGGAATCCTTCGTCTTAGAAAGCGCCTCCAATGGTGGTTTTGATGTCACCATTAGTGTCTCATCTTTCACGTGGTCTGTCTTACAGTCAAGATGGTGAGGAGCTGAAGGAGATAAAGGCTTTGGTTCATCAAGAGGAAGGGACTTATGATCTTGTTTGTCGACTCCAAAACACTTGAATGAATCGGTAGAGACGAGATCGTCACTAGGGATGGAAAGAGGTTCTCCTTTTTCTTGATGGCTGGCTTCCATGACGTGATGATCCAAAGGAATTTCATTTGATGGCCTCTTTCTAACAAACTTGATGGAGGATTCTCCATCTACTTCACAAGCTACCCAATACCCATCATCCATAGATTCATTGAGCTCCTGAAGCATATCATCAATCTCGGTTTGGGAGACAGACGACATATCTTCGTCAAAGAGAGGATCATGGATATCTCCGTGGGCATTGTAAGTTGACACGGTCTCCCAGTAGAATCCTTGTTCCTCTAAACCTTTGCGAATTGATTTGTTGTGGCTGTGAAGTCCTCTTGTGTGGTGGTTCGGAATTGAATTCTGATGCATTGAGGAGAGATCACGAATGTATTGTGCTTCTCGGCGTTGAGTGGCTTGAGGAGTGTTGTGAAAACCTCCCTCATAGTAGTAATTTCGTTTTATAGGATCCATATCTTCTGAAATGGAAACAAAATAACCGAAAAATGGAAATATGCAGAAAAAGGGGTTTTAGAGTCGATTTACCAACCTTTCTTGGGATTTTGCGGAAAAGAAAAACGCGTGCCTTCCCCGGCAACGGCGCCAAAAACTTGATGTCGTGGTGTCGTGAGGGTTGTCAAGTTTTACCCTAAATGAAATCAATAGCCGCAAGTGCACAGCTGATCGATTGTAGTACTTAGGGATCGAATCCAGAGGGAAGGAGGATCTTTTTCTGCAAAAGCCTTTGAAAGAAATATAAAGTAAGGAAGTCTACAACCAAACGGTTTTGTGGGGGGTTTTGGTGGTGTGTTTAAAATGTAAAAACGAAGTCTAAAAAGAAACTACGGGAATTAAATGGCCTAATAACTAAACTTAACAAAATGAATAAAAATGAGAAAAACGGATATTCGAATTGCTTAAATGAAAATCTACTAAAAAGGAATGAGAATATTTAACTAAAGCTTGAAATAAAAACGGTGTAAATCTATAGGAAAGAAGGCGTTGGGGTTCAGGGAAGTTTTCTCAGGGGTACGAACGATTCAAAACATTGCTAGAGAGTAAAATTGTTAAGATCTTAACTTAAACTTTTCGAACTGGAGTCACGGACGTATGAATACGCCACTGTCGTGATCATAGACAACTATCTCTCTCAACCCTGACAAGTAGGTTTCCACTCTGGCCCTGGAAAAGAAGAGATGCATTATGTTTAAGACTCGTCAGCATTCACAAATCGCCCATAGGTAGGTTTCCACTCCTATGTTTGTTTTGCTCTCCCAAACTAAATCTGACACCGGATGAACACTTTCGTGTCACCAAGCATCTGGATCAGATTGTAGTTCATGACGCTACTCTCATGCAGTAAAAACGAATTCAGAAGAAAAAGTTCTAAGATTCGGCTCAAAAGCTCATGGAATCCTCATCGAACATATAAATCCCCATCGAAAATCCCTTAATCCCAACAATAAAACTACTCAGACATAATGAACGAAATCAAAAACATAGTATTAATAAGTATAATAGAAACCGAAATTGAAAAAGAAAGAACAAGGGTTCAAGAGAACAAATCTCTCTCTCCCTAAAAGCTAAAACAAAAACAATAAAAATATGATGTAATAATTCGGTTCTCCCTTTTAGGGTTCCTAAAACATGTATTTATAGTACTCAAGACATCTCTGGACGTCACTTAGGGTTTCTCCAAATGAGGGAATCATTGTGGGCTTCAGAAATGGGCCTTCGGGCTCGGAGTTGGCTGGCCGCGGTCGGGATGGTTGTGACCGCGGGAAATGGACTGCTGGCCGCGGTCGGGATGCTTCTAACCGCGGGAAATGGCCTGTTGGCCGCGGGTGGAATTGCTTGCCGGCTGGTTTACAGGACATCTTGCTCTTCGCGTATCTTTTGATTGAATCGTTGGATTGCCAAGCTGTAAAGTGTGCTGGAAAGCTGATACTTTCATCTTTAAGATCACCAAATTTGAGCTGGATCGGACGGTGAGAAAGCCTTCAATTAGGGGTGAACTTCTGACGGTTTGACTCTGAGCTGAAATCTGGTTTTCTATCCATTTTGTTAAGTTTTTCCCTAAGTTACCTGAAAAGAGTATTGGAACTACAAATACTAGAAAAACGTGATAAAAGTACTTAAAAGCAATTAAAAACATAGAAAAAATATTTCAAAACGATCTATAAAAGTGGTCAAAATACAGTGTTATCACTTAACAACTATTCATATATATATATATATATATTTGTTACCATTACTTGAAAACTACCAAAAAACAAGATTAATATGTGGTTAAAAAGATAACAAAATCTTGAATTCGTTATCTTAAAAGTTAAACATTTTTTTAATATGTGTATAAAACGATTACGAGATTAGATGACGATTACGAGATATTCCAATAATTTATCACCACCTTTCATTTTCTTCAAACTCTCTGCATACGCTTTTTTCTCCAATATCCTCTGTAGATCTTAAACCAATTATGTCACTCTCCACCGTAGAACAACTACATGATTTCCATTCTCAAGACAGAGAGATATTCGCTAAACTGGTTTTAAAATTCTCAAGAGCCCCAGCTGAGTCCCTTCTCGTCATGGCCACATGGTTTTGGCTTGAAAACTTTGGCTTTAAACATATCTTCTCAGTCATCATGTCTCTCAGCGATCCTTTAATTATATCTCTTGCTGACGAGGCTGTCTCGTGCTTCCGGTGCCTTGAGTTTAACAAACCACCAAATGGCTTTAAACAGATCCCTCTCACTGCAAGATTCATGGAAAAAGATATATCTCTTCAAATAATCTACAAATATCGATACAGTGCCATCATAGGAATCAAAAATTTCCTAAGCACTGTTTGTTCTAGAATTTTCTCCGATATAATTCAAAGAGCTCTTCTGTGTCCTTTATCATCCTCCAATTTCAGCAGACTCTGCAGCCCTCTCAACATCCCTGGCTTCCCTCATCCAACTTTTGGGAACATCGTCGTGATGCCTCATGTTGTTTGCTGGAATAATATCCCCAACAACAACCCATCCCTGATCCCTAGTGATCTTTGGGGTTGGCATACTACATGCATCGCAACTGAGAATGATCGAACCATATTTCTAACGTTTTCTCGTGGGTTTTCAGTGTCAGAAGCGGAAGTGAAGAAACTCTTCACCCAAAAATATGGAGAAGGTTGCGTTGTAGGCGTTTTCATGCCAGATGTTAGTGGAAACTCCTTCAACAAAAATGGTCAGCAACAATCACTATATGCAAGGCTCGTCCTGGACTCGGTCGTTACCGTGGATCGCATACTCAAAGGCAATAGTCTCAACAAGTTTGATTGGTCTGGAAAACATATTTGGGCTCGTAAGTACAAAAAGAGGCGTAAAAGGTTTTGATGTCAAAAATCTTATGTTGTAGTCAAATAATTTTGTGACACCCCAATCTGGGTGGATTATTTCACTTTGACAAAGTGGAAAATAAATTTTCGTAAATTTTTTATTAAATTAATGGAGTTTCATTAAAAACAAAAAGAAGAATGGCATGATGTAGTAATAGAATCTGAACCCGAAATAATTTATAAATGATTATATAAAAATTAAGAAAACTAAAGGCACCTCGCGTGAAGAAAAAAAAAGTAGAACAACAAAGCTACACAAAATATTCATCGTATAAGTTCCTATAGTGATTTTGTGTCAAGAAGAGAAATTTAGCGAATTCTATTCTCTTTGAAGATTGTTGTCAAATTGCTATTCAACTATAAAATTTTGGTTTTTAAAACAACTTTATTCATGGTTTTGGAAACTATAAGATCCAAAACATAGTCATTCATAATTTTGAATTTATAAGATCAAAAACAATGTGATTCTACTTAGAGTAAATAAAAAAAAACCATTTCCACACTACTATATATAAAGAATTATGAATTTACACCATTTCATAATCGATTAAAGGTCAAAGATTATATTGTAGGGTTCTAATATGTCAAATGTACTTTTACAATTTTGTTTTTGACAATAATTGTGGGGGATAAATTCCCGGTCTCTTAAATTGGGCCAAATTTATTTAAGATGTAAAAGGCCAAACAAAGTCAAAGAGTTCAACAAAGTCAAATGAGGAAATGAGATAACGAGTCTAGCTGAAAGACTAGCCGTAGTGACATCTACGGTCAAAAGAGATTAAATGCAGAATTTTTTAGTCAACAATGCAAGACCAAAGACTCATTCAAAGCAGAGAGTTTTAGGAATATTAATCATGACAGATCCAACAAAGTTAATGACAACATTAAGATGATGATATTTCTATTTCATCATGAATTTGGCGCTTAATTCACACCAATTAATAGTTGAGAATGAGCCACTAAAGGAGGAAAACACGTTACACAATGGGGAGCTTAAAGAAAGGAAGAAGTGAAGAACAGTATGAAAAGGGAAAGAAGCCATCATTGGAAGGGGGCTCCTCCATGACAAAAGAGACACACTACTACTAAATATTTCCAGCTTGGGTTCTGTAGGAGAAGTGAAGTCATCTTTTCCCAAGAAAATATCTTTCTTTTGGAAGAAGAATCATTGTACTTAATCGAACTACGTAATAAGCTTCAAACAGAAAAAAACTGAATTTAATTTTGTCAAAGAAAAAAATGTTTGAATTGTTCCTGTGTGTCTTGTGTCTTGATATTTCTTTGGGTGAATGCATTGTTTCCTCCTAAGGTTGATGGTGCACTGTTACTTCGAAAACTTATTATGGACTGAAGCTTCATTGGATTCGCTGATGCGGTGAAAAATATAACAAGTTTTGTCCTAATAAAACTGCAAGCGCACAACAATCACAATAGTATATAACGAGTATCAAATTCACAAGGACTAGTGTGCTTAGGATTTTTATCTAACCTAATTTTGTATCTAAAATAATAAAGTTCAAAAGGTTGTCAGAATTTTGCAGAAAGGACAAATAAATAGCAAATCAGAAAATAAATGATGTAAACTTCATGAATAAAACGGCTGGACAGCAGAGAATTCTGGATCAAATCAAACAAGCATTAGTTTGGATTTATAGCGACTTAGTCAACTAGTGGTTCTTAAACTAGAACATGGAATTGTACTTATCCTACTCACATAGACATAAACAACTAGATCTAACAAGTCAGCATTGTTGCTTGCTAGGCAGAAATCAGCAATAAAGAGAAGTTTGTAAGACGCTCACAATGCCTGTAAGTATACTTTTGTAAATTACAACATAGTTTCTCACATACTCTAGTTAAGGTCAATAAATTCAGCATGAAAAATGGATTCATTTTACTTAAATCAGTTGCTAGGTGACAAATAACACAACATGAAGTAACAAACAAGAATACGACTAATAATCATATAAACTATACTAAATCTAACAACTTGATAGAAACTCCTTAAGGACTTCACACACTTAACCCGGATTGAGGTTGAGACTGAACTTGGGTCGTGAGGTGGGTGCATGACTTAACCTCATTAAAACCCCATCTGGTAAACCCATTGAGACAAATCCGGATGCAAGGCAAAAGAGTATTTAGCCAAACACCCGGACCAAGTTAGCAACGACCTGTGTACATGAGAGTAGTCATGGTGCTGGGTGTAGGTGATAACACCTGATTTTGTCTATTTTTATGGATCACTTTCAATATCTTATGCAGGTGTTTTTACTCAGTTTTAAAGGTTTTATAAGTGTTTTCCATGTTTTGGAGTTTTAAAAGGCTTTTCAGGAAACTTGAGACTTTGGAGTGCATTTTGGTGCAAAAGTACAATTTTGGATAAATTCAGGCCGTCAGAAGTTTGGCAACCAAAGAAGATCTTCTCACCGTCTGATCATCCCCAAATTTAGAGAAATTTAGAGGAGACAACCAGCTTTCCAACACACTTGGAATCAAAGCAATCCAACGGTTAGATCTCAAGATATCATTAATGCACTGAAGGCCGATCAACACAAGCCCAGTCAAGCACAAGTGCTTTCACCCGCGGCCAGCCTTCTCCCCACCGTGGCTCAGGAGGTCTCACCCCCGATGGACCTATGTCCGAACCTCAGGAGCCCAACTAAGGCCCAAGACACTTCCTGCACCCATTTTACAAGCCCTAGACGCCCAAGACTTGGAGAAACACTATAAATACTCATTTTTCGGTCTTTTGTAGGAGAGCCTCTTTCTTCTCTTTGAGAGAGAACTCATTCATTTATGCATCTGTAGAAGCTTTTCATCGCCATACTGTCTTCAATAAGAGAAGTCTTTCTGCAACTTTGTTTCTTTTACTTTTCTTCTTCTTAGTTCTAAACCGATGATGATGTCTACCTCAGCCATGTCTGAGTAGTCACCTAGTTGGGTGAAAGGGTAATCCAAAGGGACCCCATGTTCGAATGACATCTAGGTTTTTAGGAAAAAGGATTTTGATTTTTTAACATGATTCTCCCATTCATCCAATTCTCAAAGCGGTAATTCTGGATTGATCACCCAGAATCCGATCCTAGGTTTAATCCGAGCCACGAGAGTGTTGTATCTGGGATGCCTGAACCGGATCTTATGGACGTCCCCGTCGTAGGAGACGAAAGCTACCTATGGAGTATACGTAAGCAGAGATGGATTCCGATCTACAAAGCATGATCTTGTACTGACATGAAAATGAGAGTTAATTGCCATGAACAAGTGATTAGATGATTAGGGTGACGAGAGTTGGCTAATCTTACATGTGTCTATCCTAGTTTCAGAGTCATAGAAAATCCTTACCTAAATTCCTTGTGTTTTAGTACAGGAACCCTAAAGATGAACCTTGAACCCCGAGCTTTTTACTTAAAGCTCTTTTTAATATTCTGCATAATTAGATTTAGTGACAAACCAAAACTCTTTTTATTAGATTAGGTTTACGATTGTTTTTAGCATCAGTTAGGAGTCCTCAACACACAGATCTCTGTGGATTCGATCCCTATGTACTACTGCGTTTGCTGTGCACTTGCAGATTGTCTAGAGTAAAACTTGTGTTGCCCACTGCACTCACATCAGTAGGTTCCTTTCTTTGGTTCCTGATCTCGATAAGTATCCCTCGAACGGCTCCCACAAGTCTCCGGATCCTTGATCTTGTCATCGGTCCTTCCAGAACGACCAAGGCCGTGTCTTGAACCTCATTCTCGATCCGATCCTCGACCCGCGGTTCATCCTCTGGTTCCATGATCGTTTCATCCCCCTTCTGTAGAAAAAGACTTGTCCTCAAGTCTGGTTCATCTGGGAGAAAAGGAATAATATCAGCAATATTGAAAATGGAACTAACTGAGTACTTACCTTGGAGGTCGATCATGTAGGCATTGTCGTTGTTCGTTCCAAGAGAGTAAATGTTCCGTCCACCCTAGGTAGCAACTTGTACTTCTTCTTTTCTGGGAATCGGTATTTTCTGAGATAGATCCAAACTTGATCGCCTGGTTCGAACACCTTTTTGCTGTGGCCTTGATTGGCGTACTTTGGGAACTGCTCTGTCTTCTTTTCAATGTTCTGCTTGGCCTTTTCATGCATCTGTTTGACCAATTCAGCTTTCTTTTTCCCATCCATTCTTACACTTTCACTCAGATGCAAATGGGTTAGATCCAAAGGTGTAAATGGATTAAAAACATATACTAACTGAAAAGGGGAAAACAAAGTCGTAGAATGAACAGCATGATTGTAAGTGAACTCTACATGTGGCAAACAGTCCTCCCAATTTCTAATGTTCTTTTTAATGACTGATCGTAAAACAGCCGACAAGGTTCTATTAACCACTTTGGTTGACCGTCAGTATGGGGGTGACAGGTCGTAGAGAAGCATAACTTACTTCCTATTTTGGACCAAAAGGTCTTCCGAAAGTAACTAATAAATTTTTTTATCTCTATCTGAAACAATGATTCTAGGAACGCTTTGCAAACGGACTATCTTCCTAAAGAACAAGTCTGCTACATTCGAAGCATCGTTGGTTTTATGACATGGAATGATATGGGCCATGTGAGAGAACCAGTCCACAACAACAAACACTGAATCTCTACCTCGCCTAGTCCTAGGAAATCCGAGAAAAAAAGCTATCGAGATATTAGTCCATGGTTCACTCGGGATCCGTAAAGGAGTATACATACCTCGTCCTTGGCTTTTGGATTTGGCATATTTACACACGGTGCATCAGTTACAGATCCGTTCCACGTCCTGTTTTAGATGCGGCAAATGAAAATGATCATGAACCACACTAAGGGTCTTAGCCACTCCGAAATGCTCCATCAAGCCGCCGTCATGAGCCTCCCCGAGAAGTAAGTCAGGCAAAGAAATGTTAGGTATACATAGGTGGTTCTCGTAAAACAGAAAGACATTGCTCTGAAAGTATTTGACTGGGCAAATTTTGAACAGGAGAGAAAGACTTCCTAGAAG